AACGGAATATTTTAGTAGAGTTATAATGGCTTAGAAAAATGCTCTGGCTTATGGACAACAACTCACCTCAGTTTTATCGCAAGCGCTTGAATGATGTAGGAGCGCATGCGGTTTGAAATTATATTTATATAGCTCATTTTGTAAGAAACAAACATAGGGCCCCTGGCTCAACACTGAATATTTTAAAACGGTTGTAGTAATTTAAGAACCTTTGTGGGCGATAGAACAACATCTCACTAAATTTTTATCGCATTCTGAAAAATGGTATAGGAGCGCATAGAAAATTATTTTTTACAAAGCGCATATAAGAAAAAATAAGAATTTGGGTCAACGGCCCAAAACGGAATATTTTAAAAGTGTTGTAATGAATGGTTATGTTTATAGATAACAACTCGTCAAAGTTTTGTCGCAATCGCGTGAATGGTGCAGGAGCGCATACGGTTTGAAATTATATTTATATAGCTCGTATAAGAAAAAAACGTAAATAAGGCCGCTGGCTAAAATTGGAATATTTTGAAAAGTTTATAATAATTTAAAAACCTCTGCTGCCGTGTTTCAACATCTCACCAAAGTTTTAAGTTTTATTGCAATCGGATAAATGGCGTAGGAGCGCATATGAAAATTATTTTTTACAAAGCTCATATAAGAAAAAATACGAATTAAGGGCCAACGGCCGAAAACAGAATGTTTTTAAAAGTGTTTAAATAACACAGTAAAATGCACTGGCGCATGGACAACAACTCACTAAGTTTTGTAGCAATCGCTTGATTGGTGTAGGAGCGCATACGGTTTGAAAATATATTTATATAGCTCATATAAGGAAAAACGACCATTCAAAGAGAGGTCCGCTGGGACGAGCATATTGACAATGTATGTAACCAAGCAAACCAAGCCTTGGGGTTCTTAAGGCGAAATCTAAAGATTGGCAACTCCTGTGTGAAAGAAAGAGCATATAAAGCCTTTATCCATCCGATTTTAGATTATGCATCTTCAGTCTGGGACCCATTTACCCAGAAGAGCATTGACAGGTTGGAGGCGGTCCAGCGACGAGCAGCACGCTTTGTCCTAAACCGCTACAGGAATACCTCTAGTGTTGGCAGCATGCTAGAAACACTAGGCTGGTCACCATTGGAGAAACGACGACGACAATCCAGGCTCTCCATGATGTACAAGATAAATAATGGGCTGGTCCACTGTTCCAGTATTAAACAGAAACTCGTCCCTCTCCCCCATAGACAGCGACGAGGCCATGACAGGCAATTCAGGCTCATACCAGCAAGAAGCCAGTATAGGAGCTGCTCATTCCTGCCCAAGACAATCAGGGACTGGAACCATCTTTCAAAAGGAACAGTTGAGGCGACAACACTAGACACATTTGTGTCTATTGCCTCAAGCCTTCAAACCCCTAGTGCATAATTTCCTCATCACCACCAGTAACAGAAACATTGCAAATCCCATCTACATGCATAGGAGCCAAAATGATCAATAAATTGATCGCGGGCCCTTAAGATATAGAAGAAGAAGAAGAAAATTATTTTTTACAAAGCTCATATAAGAAAAAATACGAATTAAGGGCCAACGGCCGAAAACAGAATGTTTTTAAAAGTGTTTAAATAACACAGTAAAATGCACTGGCGCATGGACAACAACTCACTAAGTTTTGTAGCAATCGCATGATTGGTGTAGGAGCGCATACGGTTTGAAAATATATTTATATAGCTCATATAAGGAAAAACGAATGTGAGGCCCCTGGCTCAAAACTGAATAATTTAAAACGATTGTAATAATTTAGAAATGTTTATAGACATGCTCGCAACATTTCACCAAAGTTTTATATGAATTGGATAAATGGCGTAGGAGCGCATGTGGAAAATATTTTACAAACTCATATAAGAAAAAAAACGAATTAAGGGCCAACGGCTAGGAACGGAACACTTGATAAGGTTTTTAATAACTTAGTTAAATGGCCGGTTATGTGGAAAACAACTGTTTAAAGTTTTGCCGCAATCGCATGAATGGTGTAGGAGCGCATATGAGACATACAGACAGACATACAAACATTCATTTTTATATATATAGATTAGAGACCGATCGAAAGTGGCCATTTTATCACTTTCGGCCAAGTTTCGGTTTCGGTCGAAACAGAAAATTAACTTTCGGCTTAATTTCGGTTTCGGCCGAAAGAGAAAAGTTAACTTTCGGGTTTTTTTTCGATTTCGGCCGAAATTGACTTAGACTTTCGGCCATCCGGCCGAAAGTGACTGAGGTTTTCGGTCATCTAATTCTCAACAAAAGCGATATATAACAACAAACTAAGCGAAATTTAAGAACAAACTAAACGATCTTTAAGAACAAATTAAGCGATCTTTAAGAACAAACTAAACGATCTTTAAAAACAAATAAAGTGATCTTTAAAAACTAATAAAGCTATCTTTAATAAAAAAACTAATTGATCTTAAAGAACAAACTAAGTGATTTTTAAGTACGAACTAAGTGATCTTTAAGAACAAACAAATGATCTTTAATAGTAAACTAAATGATTTATAAGAATAAACTAAGTGATCTTTAACATAAAACTAAATGTTCTTTAGGAACAAACTAAAAGATATTTAGGAACAAACTAATCAATCTTAAGGAACAAAATCAATTATCTATCATAACGAACTAAGCGATCTTTATGAAAAAAACTAAGCGATCTTCAACAACAAACTAAGCGATCTTTATGAAAAAACTAAGCGATCTTTTAATAACACAAACTTAGCGATCTTTATTGAACAAACTAAATGATCTTTAATAATAAACTAAAAGATCGTTAAACAAAAAACTAAGCG